GGGTCACGAAAAGGTTCCGGGAGAAAAGGGTCAGAGTCGAGTCACCTAACTCAGTCGGCCTTCTCCCATCAGTACCCGATTGCAGGCAGCCTGTCTCACCCCATGCCATCATCCGGGTACGGCTCGTAGTCTTCAACCCGCATATTATACTTCTTGGCGGCGGCGGCCCGTTCTTCTGGATTCCTGGGATAGGGCCCCGGGAGCATGTCCTTGGTAATATGGGAGGCTGGAGAGCAGAAGAGGGCAGGTCAGAAGCGACCCCGTTTTTCCTGCCGCCCCGAAAGCTTCCAGCTGCTATGGCTGCAGAGGTCTGGACTTCACGGGAATAGCAAGACCCTCGACCCCCTCTTCCTGACCAACTCCACCTCCGCCTCCTTCCCGGGCAGGGCCACCGCAGTATCCGGAATAACTAACCCTCCCTTCGCCCCCATCTACACAACACACCAAACCTCAGGTATCCCCTTCCCACACTGAAGCCTCTCCCGGTCTCGCGGACCTGTCCGTGCACCCAGCGGGACCACCTTCCGGGCTGTCCTTTGCAGCCAAAGGGCTCCCAGGACCCGCACCCTGGCCGCCGCCATCTTCACCTTCTTCCCGTTTCACCCTGCACATGCGCAAAGGCCTCCTCACGGCGGCTGAGCAGGGCCAAACCTGACAGTGGAAACCGGTAAGAAAGAAAAGGCTTAGGATTCAAAAAGGGCGGCGAAGCCAGAGGGTAGCTAAGTGGATGGATAGAGACCGACGGAAAGCGGAAAGGAGAGAAACCAAGCAGGTTACTGCTTTGATATTTCATACTGTGTCCTTTTTCTCCGTCAGCAGATTTAGACGTAACCAAGGAATACTGGGGACTGAGAACCTGAGCATTTCTGGTGGACAGCTGACCAATCTGGTCTGTCTCCCCCAAAAGCATTACAAGTAAAATGAGCCTGCCTTAATTCTTCTCTGATTGCGTGCCTCTTTGCCTTCCTTCGCTGGCACTTGCCCTTTCCATCCCCAAACGTGATCAAATTAAGCTGTTGGTCTTGCTTGTTCTCGTTCTGTTCTGAAAAGTGGTTGACATCCTTCACTGAGGTGCACAGTGCAACACACAAATGGCACCGAATTAGCTCCTCCTGTTCAATCCGCGTTTACATCTGAATGGCCCAGTCACCTCAGTCCAACAAATGTAGAACTGGTCCCAGCACCGAGCAGCTCTCTGGAGACTGCCCAACGCCTCAGATTTGCTAGGATTTGGATAAATATATTTCAAGCTGGGCTGTAATAAACACTAGCTTAGCAGAAGATTGGGGACATTGTTGTGTTTGCATACGAGTATTTTCACAAGAGGGATTTGCACAATTTATGTAATATATGCACAGATATCCATCAACTTTCAGGGTGCTCACTCTTTTGGAGCAGAACCTATCATTCTCGAATACATCCCAGAACAAAAAAAAAAATGATATACACTATTAAGTATATACGTTTTGGGGAAGACTAGTTCACAGCAACCTGCACTCTTGTAAATGAGTGTCACTAGTTGATATTCAGAATAACTGGGCAGTATCTGCATTCATTCAATAACAAGCCCTGATCTAGTTTCGGTTCAGAAACAGAGTAGTCTAATTTACTTCTTTTTATTAAGCCATAATTGACATACCATAAAATTCATCTGAAGTGGGCAATAAAGTGATTTTTGTATATTTACAAAGCTGCGCAGTTATCACCACTATTGAATTCTAAAACATTTTCATCACCCCCCCAAAAGACACCCCATAAGGGGATGGGGGTACAGGAGAAATAGGTGAAGGGGAGAAAGAGATACAAACTTCCAATTATAAAATAAATCAGTCACTGGGATGAAAAGTATGACATAGCGAATGTAGACAATAACATTGTAATATGGTGTAAAAATCTTTGTATGGTGACAGATGGTACCTACACTTACCATGGTGAACATTTTGTAATGTATATAATTGTCAAATCACTATATTATATAGGTGAAACCAATATAATATTGTATATAAACTATATTTCACTTAAAGAAAAGACACCATCTACCTATTAATGTATCCTCCCTACCCTTCAACCCCTGACAACAACTAATTTATTTTCTGCCTTCTAAGGGTTTGCCTATTCTGGACATTTCATATAAATGGAGTCACACAGCATGCGGCCATTTGGGTCTGCTGACTTATTTCACTTAGCATAATGTTTTCATGTCACAGGATATATCAGTTCTTCATTTCTTTTCATGGCCAAATAATATTCCGTTATATGGACATACAACATTTTGTTTATACATTCATCAGTTGATGGACATTTGGGTTATTTCTACTTTGGAGCTATTATGAATAATGCTGCTATGAACATTCTTATACAGGTTTTGTATGGACATATATTTTCATTTTTTTTTGGTATACACCTCGTAAAAGAATTGCTGGTTCATAGGGTAACTTTAACTTTCTGCAGAACTACACATGTTTTGCAAAGAAGCTGCACCATTTTATATTCCCACTATCAGTGTATGAGGGGTCCAATGTCTCCAAATTCTCACCAACATTTGTTATTATCTGTCTTTTTTATTATAGCCACCCTACTGGGTGAAAATGGTATCTCATTGTGGTTTTGTTTTGCATTACCCTGATGACTAAAGATGTTGAGCATTTTTCACGAACTTGTTGGCCATGATATATCTTCTATGGAGAAATGGCTATTCAAATCCTTCATCTGTTTCTTAATAGAGTTGTCTTTTTATTGTTGAGTTGTAAGAACTCTATGTATTCTAGAAACAAGTCCCTTATCAGATATATGATTTGTAAATATTTTCTCCCATTCTGTGGGTTGTTTTTTCCCTTTCTTCCCTTTTTTGGTAATTTTCTCTGGGACCCCATTTTTATCCTGAAAGGTGTTGGAGTTGTTCAAAGCTTTCTCTGTATCTATTGAGATGATTATGTTGTTATTTTTTTCTCCTATTAATATGGTAAAATTTCAGATGTTGAACCAACCTTGTAGTCTTAGAATAAATTCTATTTGGTCATAGTGTATAATCCTTTTTATATAGCTCTGGATTTGGTTGGCTAGTATTTTGTTGAGGATTTTTGCATCTGTATTCATAAAGGATATTGGTCTGTACTTCATTTTTCTTGTGATGTCTTTATCTCACTTTGGTGTCAGGGTGATCTTGGCCTCATAGAATGAGTTGGGAAGTGTTCCCCCTTCTTCTGTGTTTTGGAAGATCTTGTGAAGGGTTGGTGTTAATACTTTTCTAAATGTTTCTTATGATACATCAGTGAATCCATTTGGTCCAGGGCTTTTCTTTGTGGAGTGGTTTTTGATTCCTAACTTAATCTCTTTACTCATTATGTCTATTCAGATTTTCTATTTCTTCTTAAATCAGTTATGATAGCTTGTCCCTTTCTAGGAATTTCTGCATTTCATCCAGGTTATCTAATTTTTTTGGCAGGCAATTGTGTATAGTATTCCCTTATACCCCTTTTTATTTTTTCAAAGTCAGTAATAATGTCCCTTCTTCCATTCCTAATTTTAGTAATGTGAATCTTTTTACTGTATTTTTAATTCCCAAGGGTTACATATTAATATATTCTTATAAAAATTCAAACATTGCAAATAAAACTAAAGGCCTGATTGCCTCCCCAATCCCCAAACCCTCTACAGAGGTAACCCCACTATCAGTTTGGTGCAGCATAGTTACTATGTAGCATAATTATACAGTTAAGCCAGTGTATTAATTATCTATTGCTGCATAACAAATTACCATAAACTTAGCAGCCCAAAACAACAACAATTAATTATCTCACATTTCCCATGAGTCATGAGTCCAGGCACAGGTTAGCTGGGTCTCAGCTCATGGTCTCATGAGGCTGAAATCAAGGTATTGGTTGGGGCTGCTGTCTCATTTGAGGCTCTGTGTCCTTTTCCAAGCTTAGTGATTGTTGGCAGAGTTCAGTTCCTTGCAGTTATAGGACTAAGATCCCTGCTTTCTTGATGGCTATCAATCAGGAGCCTCTCTCAGCTCCTATCCACCATTCTCTGTCATAGAAGGTTGCTCCTTCAAGGCCAACAGAACTTCTGTGGCTTACATCTTTTTGACTTCTGTCCCTGACCTTCTAGACCCATATTTAAAGTGCTAAAGTTATTATTTCAGACTCACCTAGGATAAATCTCCCTTTTGATTAACTCAGGTGAACTGATTAGGGACCTTAATTACATTTTCACCACATAACATAACTTCATCACAGGAATGATACCCTTTCATATTCATAAACCCTGCTGCTATTCAAAGGGAAAGATTTATATAGGGCATGTACATCATTAGATGAAAATCGTTGATCCATCTTAGAATTTGACCCCCCACAGCCTGCCATAAGAACTGTTAAAGTAAGCAATAGAGTTAATTGGGCCTTTTATAACCAATATAAGTTGTTTGGAAATGGGGAGTCTTATGGTTGGCCACTAATAACTTTGTTTCCATTGCAAAAATATCTTCAAGTAGGAGAGATGGTGACACAGGCAGAAAAATCAAATGATGCTAAACAAAAGTAAATCATCTTTGATTTTAAAAGAATTCAACTGTCATATATCTTTTGCTTAGACCTTCAGAGCAACGTGAAGCAAGCACCACACCTGTTAATCTGAAATCGTTTTTCCTTCTGATTTCCAGTGGTAGGTCAACAGTTTCCTTACCCTCCCATTCATGAGTGTAAAGTTCAATGCCTCACTTGCCTCCTTCTTTGCCTCTTATGTAGGTCTGAGCACACTGAAGCAGCAATAATATTTCATGGATGGGCTAACCAGGTGATCACCCCTATTCCGTGGAATTAAACGGCAGCCCCAGGTTTTCACGAGCCGAGCCCAGGGTATAGATCTGCATGTCACCATTAGGAGGCGCTCTCTCAGATCGAGTGCTTAGTGTCTCCGGTCCACTTTCTCTCGCTGCTCATCTCTATGGTTCCCGTTGTGTTTCTCCGACTAGGCGGAGCTTCCGGTTCCGGTAAGGGCCGTCCCTAGCGGCGGAGATGGCGGCGACAGCTGCGGAGGCTGCGGCCTCGGGGTCTGAAGAACCCCGGGAAGAGGCTGAAGCCCTTGGCCCTTCTTGGGATGAGTCCCAATTGCGCAGTTATAGCTTCCCGACTCGTCCCATCCCGCGTCTGAGTCAGAGCGACCCCCGGGCGGAGGAGCTTATAGAGAATGAGGTAGGGGGCGGTGCCGCGTTTGAAGGGGGAGGGGGAAGGAACCAGATTGGGAGAAGTCAAAGGCGAATGGCGGTAGAAGTGGGGGTACTGATGGGGCTCTGGAATAGGGCCTGAGAGATGGAGAAGGATGTGAGGAAGAATGGGACTCAAGGGGTATGTGCTGGTTCCCAGGAGGAATTATTAAGTTGGAAAGTAATTGGAATCCTTGGGATGACTTCATTTGTTTTTTTCACCTGGTGTTTTCGCTTAGGAGCCTGTGGTGCTGACCGATACAAATCTTGTGTATCCTGCCCTGAAATGGGATCTTGAATACCTGCAAGAGAATATTGGCAACGGAGACTTCTCTGTGTACAGTGCCAGCACCCACAAGTTCTTGTACTATGATGAGAAGAAGATGGCTAATTTCCAGAACTTTAAGCCAAGGTCCAACAGGGAAGAAATGAAATTTCACGAGTTTGTTGAGAAACTGCAGAGTATACAGCAGCAAGGAGGAGAAGAGAGGTAAGTTCCCAGTCATGGTTTTCCATTGAATATGGGGCATCCATTTTCTTTTCCTGTGTTTATTATGAGACTATGGAGATAAGAGGATGATTAGACTTGAACTGTCACTGCTTAGTGCCTTATCGTTTTCATTAAGTGAGAGTTACAGTTGCCTACAAGGGTTAGGTAGGTAAACAAAATGAATGCAGTTGTGAAAAACTAGGATGAAGCTGTACGCATATGCCTTGTTCAAAGTGAGAAGTCATTACTTGACTCTTGTTTCCATTTTAGAGTGCAGTTTTCAGGATACTAGATCTGATTTTTGTTGAAGAGAAGCCAGAAATCACGATTTTTACTTAATCTTTTTGACTTTTAAATATGGGAAGTTAATTCAAGCTTTTAAAAATGCTGTGGAGGTTCGTATAAAAATCTGTCATTGGATTTAGCCCTGAGATTGCTAGTTTGCAGCCTCTGTCGTAAAATATCAGGCTGGCTGGGGACAGTTCAAGCTGAAAAGTTATTTAGACTATTATGATTCTGGGGTGAAGGATGTCAGGATTCTCTTGCTTAGGGAAGCTTAGATTTTGGGGAGTGGGAATGAAGATATTTCACGTTGTTCTGGTGATAGCAGACACAAGACACACGGGATTCTTATTTTCTGCTTTTATCCCTATTTATGGAGAACAGCCTCCTCTGTAGGTCCCAGACAGCATTCTGTCCCACATTGTAACATTGCCTCTGGGGAACTGCTTTCTTTGAGTACTTCATGGTGTATGACCACCTACATTTCACATTTGGTACCCAGCCCTGGGCTTCTATCTCCTGCCTCAGTTTTCTTCATGACTTTCTTATAGCTGTATATGGTTGAGTGCATAGATTTGAGATACATTTTTTTTTCGTCTTGACACTTAGCAGTCATAATTTCCTCATATTTAACATAGCATGCACATGGAAGTGCGCACAGACTCCCAACATTGAGACAGATCTATTTAATGGTGCTGGTTAAGTGTAATTCCACTGAGTTAACATATGTGTTGGAATGAGCGTGAAATAAGGCCCATGAATACTTTGGTTCCTCACTCTTAAGTTTCTTCCCATAATGAGAGCATTTTGCCTCACTAAGGAAGAGCTATGAATGTAGTCTGTACTTTATGGGTGATTCAAGGAAAATATCCTGTGTGCAAGTTTTGTCCTACCAGCTGACTTTAGCGCCAAGCAGCTTGTCTTTGTAATTACACGTGTTGTAATTCTGGGGTAAAGGATATCAAGATTCTCTTTGAGCTCTTTTGAACATAACAGGAATTGTTTAGATTCATGTTTGGTGAGTGTTCCTGCTTCTTTCAAAGTAAATTGCAAAATTTTTGTGTTAATGTGTATTATAATTTCTCAGTAGAGTCCAAAGGTTGCATTCAAGTTTTGAGGGTTCTCTGTCCCCAAAAAGATAGCTAGTGTGTCCAGTTGTCAAGATTTCTAGTTAATGGTGCCTTAAACATCATGATTCTGGGTACTGAGATGCCTGCCTTTGGGCCTTTTGAAGTAACTTCTCAGGACTGGACAGGGCTGTTTCTATGTCTTGCCTTCAGGTTTGGTCCTTTAAGAATATCTCTTGTAGGGCTTGATCAGGTGTGTTTGAGTTTTCATATCCTTTAAGTAACTTCTGACCTTCTTTGGGTATGTTAGGAGCCCTGAGCCTGCAGAAATCCAAATGAGGTATCTTCCTTCAACTGTAGAAGGTTGCTACAGAGAGGCAGCTGAATCAAGATAAACTAGGCTGAAGCCAGAGCTCAGCGACTTAAAACAACATAGATTTATTTTTCACTCATGCCACACATCCATCGCAGGCCATGTGGAGGCTCTGCTCTTACATCATTCTTTTCATGTTGGGACCCAGATTGCCCCAAAAGGACTCTCTGAAACTTTGCAGTTGCTGTGGTACAGGGAAAGTGATGTGGTGGTAGTGTGTACTTGTACTTAGAATTACAGTTTGGAAGCAACACAAGTTGTTCTGTGGACATTTCACTGTCTAAAGCAAGTTAAATAAGCCTGGCTTCAAGGGGTACAGAAGAATAATTCTCCCACAGGAAGGGAACTAACTCTTGGTGAACAATAATGCGATCTACCACAATGGCTGTAGAGGGCCTGAGGAGATGTGTCAGGCCCTAAGAGTCTGCTCTGAAGAAGGCTGCTTCATTCTAGGGTCTATGGCTGGGCATCAAGGAATCTCTGAAAATGTATGAAAGTTCTGTGTGGCTGTGCATTCTTATGAGGAACCTTCCTGTGTGTGATTCATGCTATGACCCAGAAAAGATTTAAGTATCCTCCTTTAAAAAGTTTCATGTTGAACAGAGCTCAGAGAAGGATAGGTAAGGATTCAGTTTTGTGAGAATCCATGTTCATTAAGATTCACATAACTTGAGCTGTTCTCTGTGGATGCTCCTGGTGTCAGTTTGGGTTTGAATTTCCAGATGTGGGGCGGCCATACCAAGGGACTATGTGTACATACACTAATGGGATTTTCTTCTTGGGAAACATAGGTTGTATCTGCAGCAAACACTCAATGACACCGTGGGCAGGAAGATTGTCATGGACTTCTTGGGTTTTAACTGGAACTGGATTAATAAGCAACAGGGAAAGCGTGGCTGGGGGCAGCTGACATCCAACCTGCTGCTCATCGGCATGGAAGGTAAAAAATCTCCTGGAGAGCAGCATAGCTTGGAACCGTACAAGCCTGATTTCTAATCCGTCTCCAGCACTTAATTCACTTCATGAGTTGGAAGAAGTCACTTAACTTTCTTAAGCCTCAGCTTCCTCGTCTGTAAAAGGAACGTGATAGTATCTTTCAAATAGCTATAAAGACAAATGAGAAGATGTATATTGTCTTTAAGCTAGTTTCATGCACTCTGAAAAGAAACTTAGTTCCCTTTTCTCTTCTTCAGTTGCCATGCAAGTGTGTATACTCAGATATTAGGAATCTCTGTGAAATACTGGTATTCTCTATTGGATGTCTGTATTCAGGAATTTTTATCCCAATAGAAAAAGGAAACTTATTTTTCTGGTATAAATCGAACCTTTTCTTTTGAGTACATAATAACATTCATGGAATTATATTCAAAGGGTATAGATAGGTATGTATTGATAAATCTCTCTTCCACTCCTATTTCCCAGTCTCCCAGTTTCCCTCCCTGGAGGCACTGCATATTGTTAATTGCTTTTGTATCTTGCTACAGGATTTTATGCATATACAGACAGATAAGGGAATATGTTCTTTTTTTTCCTTTTGAATAAAAGGAGAACTTTAAACTCCAATTGGGAAAGAGAG